GGAGGACTTGTTCCCTGAATTTTTCCACCCTTAAAAATTCGACGACCCCGCAGGGTATTTGAACCCGCGTACCACGAGTTATGAGGTGGGAACGTTACCTCTAGACTACGGAGGCCGCTTTAGTGTTATAGCTAAGATGAATACAAAGGCATTGCACTAATGTGTAAGGGCCTGACAACAGAAATACACCCATATGTAAGTATTATTGAATGTAGGGAAAAGAGCAGATAAGTTGAAGGTATGTGATGATGGCTGAAAGGCTGAAACATGTTGTGAACTTTTATTGTGATGATGGAAAGCAGAGCAGTTATGAGTACTGGAAGCTTGCTTTTTGGTACCTTGTTATGCTTGCCCTTTACATTATATTAAAATATCACACACAGTATAACAATGGACTGTATGGTATTAAATGAAACCAAATTGTATGTGGGAAATATTGAAGCAGAATGAATAATCACTATTTCAAATTTTGTAGCACACTGTACTATGTTCACCATGTGTGCTGAATAAGAGCAGGCATTACTGTGAGGTTCTTACATTTAATAAGCTGGTTATCAGCACTTAAAATGAAATACATGTCTATTCAGAATCATACTCTCTGTGTCAAGATATAAACAAAGTTCTCTCTGGAAAAGTGTGGTGGTAGTAGAAATCAAATATCTTATAAAACTTGCTTTGTAATATAGGTTCAACTATTAACATTGTTATTAATATTTTTGTAGGTTATGTGTCCGTGTGGTCATGTTTGTGGTGTAACTTCTAAGTCCACTATCCCTCTTCGGAGGCCTCCACCTGTCAGAAGTGTGGTGGATGAAATTGTCAGTGGCAGCCGTCCTTCAGCGCAGCAGGTCCATCCTGCTGTGAGTGTGAGTGTTACAGCAGTGCAGGATGGAGTGTTCAGGCGTCCGTTGCTTGCACCATCCCATTTCAAACCATTGTCTAAACCAGTCACTGCTGATGCATTCAAAGCACAGCTAGATGTGAGTACTGAAACATTCTCTTAAGTTTTTATCCTGAGATATAATGTGTTTAGATAGACACATTCAGAGTCTTTAACCCCTTGCATGTCTGTGTCAGTATTTCATATACAGATTTGTGTGTTGACATATTGTTGACATGGCCATTTATATTACATTTCCTAACTCTGCTTCTTCTCCATAGAAATTTCGACCACGATATTGCAACCGTCGAGGACGTGCAGTTCGACCAAAGAATGTGGTTGTGCAGCGGATGCTTCCACTTCTGCCTAAAGCACCTAATGGCCATGCAATGGTCACACTGAAGGTCATCCCTCAGACAAGCCAGTTGTCAGGGGAGTTCATGCCCATTGGAGCAGCAGTGACTACAGCTCCTCAGCAGTCACACACTCAGCCTGCTCCACTATGGCCACATCCCATGAAAAATTATCACATACTTCCTGCCACAACCAACAAAAGCAATACTGGATGCCTGCTGGTATCTTGTAGTAACACTAGTGGGTTGTCAGATCTTGGCCAAGGTATGTTGTAGTGGTGAAGTGTGTATGTGGTCTGACAGTAAAGTTCATGAACTTATTGCAGTAAAAGTGTTACATGCCTCATTGCTGAATATCACTGTGGTTGCATTCAAAATACTCTCTTGGGAATCTGTGCACTGATGCCAGCGCCTAGCCCACCCTTCAAAACTCCTGATGCCATCAATGTTATCAAAATGCCTTCCTTTCAATATTTCCTTTATCTTCAGGAACAGAAAAAAGTCATTGGGGGCTAGATCCGGTGAATAGGGAGGGTGTTCCAGCACAGTTATTTGTTTACTAGCTAAAATCTCCCACACAGACAGTGCCATGTGAGCAGGTGCATTGTTGTGATGCATAATCCATGAGTTATTGGCAAGAAGTTCGGGTCGTTTCCGTCTTACTTTTCACACAGCTTTTTCAATAATTCCAAATAGTAAACTTGATTGACTGTTTGTCCAGTTGGTACAATAATATCAAAAAAAGGTTAGCAAGTTTGCGAACTCTATGGTCAGACCTTGTAACCGGATGGATTTGAAATCATGGTATGTGAAGAGTTTCCTCTGTCACACCTGTTGTGCACTAATTTCTGGTTTTATGAAAGAATTTAATTTCTGAATTTAAACAAAATAGATGTAGGTAAGGTAATTTGAAATAAAACATAATAAATGTAAAGATTGTAGTGCAGGAAGTTAAATATGTAATAATATTTATTATTTATTACTTTAATAACTGTGAAAACTGTATGTACGTGGTGCTATCCAAAAGTTCCCGAAATTTGAATTTTGCGCGGGAATGGTTATGAGTACATAAAAATATGCCTAGCTGTCTCCCCACACACACTTCTCAAATCAATGTGGCAAGTGGTGTCAAGTTGAGTGGTTGGGCTTATTGTTGGTGAATGTATTTCCATTGTTGTGTTTCCGTGAGTTTGCGGTTTTGTGATGGCTGACCGGAGAGAGCAGTGTGTCTGTATAAAGTTTTTTTCTTAAACTTGGGAAAACTGCTGCAGAAATGCACCAAATGCTGAAGCAAGCTTTTGGTGACAACAGTTTAGGCCAGACACAAACGTACGACTGGTATAAGCGTTTCAAAAATGGCCAGACATCGACTGATGATGACGATCGTTCGGGACGGCTGTCAACTGACACCACACCAGAAAATGTCATGAAAGTTAGGGATCTGATTCTGCAAGACCTCTGTAACACCTTGGGACTAAGTTATGGTACATGTCAACGAGTTTTGTCAGAGGAACTGAACAAGAGGAGCATTGCGGCAAAGTTTGTGCCACGACTGCTGCAAAATGAGCAGAAGCACCATCGATTGGAAGTCTGCGGGGAACTTCAACAACAGCTTCAAGAGGATCCAAACTTTCTTTCAAAGGTTGTCACTGGTGACGAAAGTTGGGTTTATGGCTACGACCCTGAAAGGAAGCAGCAATCATCGCAATGGAAGAACCCTTCTTCACCTCAGGCAAAAAAAGCTTGACAAGTGAAAAGCAACATTAAGCCCACGTTGATCTGTTTTTTATATATTGATGGGATTGTTCTTAAGGAGTTCATCCCTCCTGGTCAGACAGTCAATAAAGAGTTCTATTGCGATGTTCTAAGGCGTTTGAGGGAGGACATGAGGAGAAAACGTCCAGAGAAGTGGCACACGAATGACTGGGTACTCCACCATGACAACGCAGGACCGAATACGGCTTACATTGTGCAGGAATTTTTGGCTAAAAACGAGATGGCAGTTGTTCCCACCCACCATACTCTCCACACTTAGCTCCATGCGACTTCTTTCTCTACCCCAAGATGAAAATCAAGTTGAAGGGGCGAAGATTTGATACAGTTGAGGAAATTCAGGCGTAAACACAGACGGTACTAAACACCCTAAGAAAGAAAGACTTCCAGGATGAATTTCAAAAGTGGCAGAAATTCTGGGATCAGTGTATGCGCTCCCAAGGGGACTACTTTGAAGGTGATGGTTCACAATAAGATCCAGGTAAGACGTAATAGTTTTTATTAATATATTTTGGGAACTTTTGGATAGCACCACGTATTTGCAAAAGTACAGAGCATGTATTATATCTTTATGTATTCTCTATTAAGTGTGCAATAGGAAACATGAAACCGGCAGAAATCAACAGGAAAGTATCATTTTTATATATAATAGATAATAGACTGAAAATTTATAGTTTAGTTACATCAAGTGAAGTAAGAAATACTGGGACCGAATGTAAGATGCAGTAAAGGGAAGTACAAAATTCTGCAATAAATCTCGATTGAGTTGCTTATAGTTCTAATTGCTATATTAGGTGCAATAATTGCTGGCCATGGGACTGCCTAGTACAGTTGAAAGAGACTGGTGTATCCAAAAGTGGTAACATTTATCCATGGTATGTCATGATAACAAGTACTCAGAACTGCCATTATTTCAGTCTCCTCCTCCTCCTACTCCTCCACCACTTGTTATGTTGTGTTCTAGAATGAAATGTAGCCACAGATTGTGCCATCTATGCATATTTTCCTCAACTCAACTAATTTTCATGAACTCAGTAAGAATGTCATGCTAGTCAATGAAGCTCTTTGAATTTCTGTGGACTAATAAATGCTTTATGAATATAATTTGCATTTAAATCACTTAAAATGAAAAATAACACAGGAGTTATGCTGAATATGTTCAGTTAGATGATGATGTAGGTAGATGTGTGAAAGGTTATTATCGCATTTGATCATAATCCTTCCACTGTTGTCAGAAGAGTTTTGTCACATGGAAAGGAATGCCATGTGTTGTGGAAAGAACTGTACTGTCAGATGTACAGATTGATGTAAAATGGATTGTTTTGGAAAATTCTACAGCAAAAGAAAGTAGGAAATTTAGGTGCAGATTGATTTAAAAGAATAATGAAACTTGGGCCCAAGTGATCTTTCTGACATGTTAAGCTGAGTAGAATTTTTCCCCCAATTACACCAGACAACAGAAACAGATCAAGTTTCCAAAACATTTTATATATCAACTACATGTTCCTCAGATAACATCCAACATAATATTCATATTATGAATTGACCATTATCACAGAACTTCAGAGAATAATCAAGTAAGTACAATCACAAGTCAATTCACATACTTTCCTTCACTGAGGGTGAAGGGGTTAAAAGGTGTTTTGTTTATGTTTTTCTAATTTACATGATTTTTAGATGTCATTCCTGTCACACTGCACCAGAGTGGATCTGATTCCAGTGGAATCAACAGTTCTGCATTGGGAACCAAACAACCCAAAAATTTGACTGGGAATGATGGTGGGGTAGGCTTACACCAGTCCAAAAGAAAGAACAGTGTTGCGATGGGACTTGCAGAAAGTGGACCTAGCATAGACTTACAGCACAGTGTCACAGGGAGCAGTAGCGATGATGTGATGGGACTCCAGCAGAGTGCATGCAGTGGGGAAGGTTCCAGTACTCAGCCAGAGATATCAGTGAGCTCATTGTCTCCACCTCTGAATACACCAGTGGCTTCTCCTCCAAGTATCTCCAACTTGCTGGAGCTGTCCCTTCCTTCAGCTGTGGGTGGTGGTCTTGCCCTGGCTGCTTGTTCAGGAACAGGACTATTGGAGGTCCCAATGCAAGATTCGGCAGCTGCTGTTGAACCCAGTTTTGTGGGTGAGTCATTAACGCCATAGATTTCATATGTCATCTTGTAACTATATAACTCCATGGAGCTGAGTCCTTCTTGAAAAGCTAGCAATCCCTCAGCTACATTTTGTGGAACCTGAAAGTTCATTACTGTGTTCACAAGAGCCCAGTATTGGTCGTTATCCTGAGCCAGATGAATCCAGTCCATACCACCTACATTTTATTTTATTGTCATTATCATAACCAATTTTCATGTGGTATTTAGGTAATTTATTGAATACACATTCTGGTTTCTCATAGGAGCTGTGTTATCAGTTTTATCCTCCATAATGCTATTACACCAGCAAGCTCTTAGTCTTATATATGACTTCTCATCACTAGCAAACTCTGCCCTCTTAGCTGCTAATATGATTCTCATATATACAACAAATCCTGTCTCTAATTCATTATTCTCATTCTCATTTCCATAGAGAAACGTCCTCTGGTTCAGTGCCACCCCTGCCCTCTATGACCCTCAGTACTCCCACTAAATCTGACTTCTACATGGCAAATTGGCAAATTCTCTTGGCAGCTGTCATCAGTAGCTGTCATCAGTGAACCTGTCCTATAGCAACTCCTTCATTCCATGTGCCAAATCTCATGTCCGTTTTCCTTTGCTTCAGTCATTCCAAAGAATCTGTCAAGAGTCCAAGGGCCTGTGTAACATTTTGTAACAAGCTTTTTTTAATGTTGAGGAGTTGTCACTCCCACACTTAATCTCCAAGCAGGAGGACTACCCCTTGTCAGTTGCCTGCTATGGCTTATTCCCAACTACTGTCCTATATTTAGATGCAGTCTCCTCCATCTTAAATCAGTGATGTGTCATGCTGTGGTAACAAGGGACCTGCTGAACGTGAATGTTGTATGCTAATTAACAAATCTTGAATGTACAGTCCAGTTTCATTTTTCTTCGGAAACCTCTTAAAACAGTTATTCTGACTGACACTTGTGATTTCAGGTTTCCCAACTTGGTAAAATGCTTGTATTAATGTAGCAGATGTATAAAGTGAAGGTTTCTGTCCGTGACTGTTCTTCTTATGTGCTTACTCCTTTACTCTGCAGTCCCCTAAGAATCTATGCCTCCTTCATAACATGCCCATTCTTCTGTGTTATTAGTCCATTGCCTCCATCTCCTTCAGTTCTTGTAAATCATTCTCTGCATCTTCCCGTCGTTTCAGTCTAGGTCTTACACTTTTATATCTTGTGGCTTTGTTTAAAAACATTTCTTAGGCACCCTTGTTTGGTCCATTCTAGTCATATATTTCAACCACTCCAGCTCTCTTTTTAATATCTGCTGCCAAATAGGTGGTTATATGTAAATTCCTCACTTTGTCTTTTCTCCTATCACATTAAAATCAGTTTAAGTTTGGGACAGAACATGATCAAATGAAATATAGTTGTCAGTGTTCTTAAGGAACCAATAAAAGGCTTTCAGGTTCTTACGTTTGCAGTTAATTGACAATTAAGTTAACCTTCTTTATAGTCTTTAAAGATGATGATTAATTTAGTGTTCGATTAGTTACAGACCCATGTGCAACACTATGTCCTATAACATTTTTTAAGTTTAGAAGATTAAAGTCTGCTTTTACCGTTCTCACGGTCTTGTCGCTTGCAGATTTCTTATACTTTTTCTTCTACCCTGAAGATGGAGGCGATACGTTCCTCCGAAACGTCGGATAACACCACATATACACGGTGCCAAATCCCAGAAGACTTCTTTCTTCATAGAAGATTAAAAGTCCGTCACTTTTAAACTTTTAAAGTTAATGAATTTTATAGTGGCATAATGTTGCATGTGAGACTGTAACTAATCGACACTGAGTGAAAAGTGCAACAGGATGCTACAATATAATATTATGATGATTAATATATGAATAAGATTTAAAAGTTTGTGACAGTGGCATATTAATGCAATTGTTGTGTTAAATACATGGTTCATCCTTTTTAGAAATGTCTTGCTATACCATGAAAAGTACACACAAACATTGTCATCATCATTGTTTTGTAACTTTATTTATTTATCTGAGATCTTGTGTGTCAGGACTGTTAGCCAGTGAAGAAGGACTTCAGACTTCAGTGACTCCTCCCAGTAGTCCATTGCAGATTCTTAAAGAAGCAGACAACCAATGGCTCAACTCTGAGGTATGGCTGTAGTTTTCTGTATGAAGTACTTAGCTGGTGGGTTTGGTTTCTGTACCAGCGCTTGCATTTTGAATATACTTCAGCAAAACAAAATACACTCATGGTGAGATTTAGAACTATCAAATATGTAATGTTTGATTTGCATGCATATTCACTTCATAGACAATACAACATGACTCACATCATGGCATCCCAAAGTAGAGTTTTTAGTAAAGCTTTTAGTATTGTCCATGAGTTTAAAATATGTCAGATATTTCTTTCCTGATCATTAGGATGATTATTCATGCTCATATGCCAAAATGGAACTTAGGTCAGTCAGTTACACACACAGAGCAGTCATTTAGTTCAAGTTTTGATGACTGTAGATGGATGTGAAATAATGTAAATGAATCACTGAAGCTGAATGTGCAAGGACTAGGTAAAAATCTTATCATGATTCACAATTAGATCAGCAATGTGAAACTGTAATGTTCCATTCTACATCTCCCACATCCATTATTTAAGCAGTTCTGATAAAAAAAACTGGTTCTCTTTAGCTTGAACATGCATTGAAGTAATTTTGCTTTTCAGGTTGCAGACTTCTCATTAAGTAGTTTCCTGGGACACTTGGAGTCACCTTTGAAACCAGCCACCAGTGCCCCAAATGCAGAGGATACAAGGTTGTTCTCAGATGTAAGTAAAAGTAAACAGTAAAATTGTCTCTATGTTTATTTTATTAATCACAGTGCCCATGGTTGTGTATGGGTAAAAGGATGTGTAACTTCAAACTCTGGTACTTTTCCTTGAGCCAAATAACTTGCATGATCCAATGGAAGGAGGAATGTTGGGTTCCAGAATAGGTCTGGTCACTGTAGAGAAGAGAAATATCCCTGCCCCTGCCAGCAATTGAAGTTGAACCATCAAATCCATAGCCATTCCATATACTGACTGAGCTATCCTGGTTACTGTCAACTGAAAATCCTGATAGTAAAGGAAATCTTTTTAATTCAGTGTCATCTTAATAATGCATGTATACTGCACTAACCATGCATTTCTGCACACATGTCAAACATATCTCACTGTATATTTATCCAAGTAATCATATGCTCAAGAAAAATTGTAGAGAAAAATGAATCCAGTATATTTTATCCTAAGTCTTATGATTTTTGAGGTAATTAAGTAGAAGTCAGCAAATGTACTAGAATTGTTATGCTATGTGATAGCTTCCTCACTTGTTACTGTCAAGTTAAGGGACAACCAATATTGGACATTATAGTCTGAGAATATAATTTTTTTACGTGCATTTAGTAAGAATTCCCAATGTTAAATTTTGTCAACATGTCCAGTCAAATTTTAAGTTTGATAATTTTGTCAAGAGCATTTTCCAGGGAAATTGCAAGTGTGGGCTGAACATATTGTCACATGTAGGAGGGTACATGTGACAAAATTAATGAGTTCTAGTTCAGAAGATTGGATTTATTAGCACTTTTTTTTAATTCGCTTAGTGGGGGGTGGAGTCCAACTGAGTCCACTTGGCACAGCGGCCACTGATTGGCCTATTGTAGCCTGCCCTGGGTGATTATGATGATTGAGAATTTGGTGGAATGAAGATTGGCAGGGGAAACCGAAGTACTCGGAGAAAACCTGCCCCAGTGCCACTTTCTCCACCACAAATCCAACTTGACCAGACCTGGTATTAGCATTTAATTTACAATCTCTCTTACTTACAATTAATACAGTGCTACTGCTGATTTACACAATTTACAGTTCACTGTTGCATACGCACTAGGATTCTCAGTTTCCACTAGTCATCTCCTAGCAACAGATCTCAACACAGAAACTGGCACTTCAATCACTACNTTACAATTAATACAGTGCTATTGCTGATTTACACAATTTACAGTTCACTGTTGCACACGCATTAGGATTCTCAGTTTCCACTAGTCATCTCCTAGCAACAGATCTCGACACAGAAACTGGCACTTCAATCGCTATGCAGTCTTCTTTCCATTTCTTGTTTGATCACTCTGGAACCTCAGAACTTAACTAAAAACTCTACTGGAAACTCTTAACTACACTGCACTCTACACTAATCTAAGCTACAACAGGTCTTCATTATATAGGCTCCGCACAGCCAACACAGAAAACACAAGTCACATGATTCCTAACCACAAAGTTCATTGGCTTGCTGACTGTTGCCTAGCAATGAGCTGTGACATTCATCCTATTGTTGCACACGCATATTGTGGGCTGTTTATCAAGCTGTTGCCTGGCAATGTGTAGGCATGTCATATGAAGTCTCGAACTTAATGCCAGTCCATTCGTCAGCTAGTGCACCCAATTGTTATTAGCCATGTTGTTGTGACGTAACCATTATGCCTCATGTAGATGTAATTCCATTGTGAAAGAGCTGAAGTTTAGTTAGGGTTTGGTCACAAATAACTTATTGATGGACTGTTTTATTTTGCCTTTAGGTGGAGGCTCAGCTGCAGTGCCTCATGAGTGAAAACAGCATTGACTACATGGCGAAATTTGCTGATCTAGCAGCTCAGATTGCCTCATCTGACTCGTCCAACAAAAAGTGACCAGCCTCATTTCTTGTTATTTGTATCATACTGTGTATGTGTAAATACATACATACTTCAGATAATAACTCACCTAAGTGTCAAAGTGTACAGAACCTGAATCATCAAAATTACAATTTATTTTGTGTTATTTTTGTATATAATTGTATTATGCACAAGTGTATATAGTCAGATTATGGAATCAGGTGTAGATTAAACTGTGTAATGAGTTTGGTATATCAAACTATGCTCACAGTCATATCCTGAATCGTATCATATACAGGGTGTCAAAGAAAAACTCCCAAGGCTTGAAGAGGACATATTTAATCACCCAAACAAAATAGTGTCATTGTATCCTAGGATATGATGAATTTTGTTATGGGAAGCAATGCAGTGCACATGTAAATAGCAGCACTTTGGTGCTGTTTGTCATTCCAGTTTCTCATACATTAATGCAAGCTGTACTGTGAGCATATCAGGCTCTGTCTTGGCATCTCCACAAGAGAAAGCACATAGTACAGCCTGATATGCTGAGATGAAATCTGTTGAGTGTGTGCAATGGAAGATTCATCATGAATATCCAGGGAAGCAAACAACAGTGTGGTTTTGCAGTGGAAGCAACAGTTCTTGGAAGCAGGAAGTGTTCTGATAAGTAAGTCACCCAGAAGACTCAGCATCACTGCAGCCAGTGTTCAAGATGTTTGGTGAGTGTTTCTTCATTGCCCTAAGAAATCTGTATGAGTGACAAGTCGATAAATTCAAATTCCAAGGAACGCTGTACATAATGATCTGCACAAAGTGCCTTAGACTTTGTGCCTATAAAATGCAGTTCATGCAACACATTAAACCAGTGGATCATCAGATTTTGCCTGATGTCTGTGACACATGTCTGTATTTGTGCATGGGTGAATGTGTGGTGTTAAGTCATGTGACAGAGAACTTGGTTATGCTGAAAAACTTTCTGTTACCTCAAATACTAAAAGTCAGCAGTCGAGTCTTTCAGCAGGATGGTATTCTGTGACATTTCAGCTGAATGGTGCATAATATTTGACATTCCCAGCCTTCCAGGTTGGTGGCAAGAAAGAAGAGGGTTGACTCTTGGGCCTACAATATTTCTGCTTAACACAACGTGACTTTTATTTTGGGGGTTATGTAAAGGATATTGTATATGCTGAAGTAATTGACACTCTGCAGGATTTTCAACCTTAAATTGAAGCAGCAAAGGCAGCAGTGCTGCTGATCAGAGTGTGGACTGAGCTTGAAAGTCCTGACAACATTTTTAGAGTTGAGAATGGAGCCTATATATAGTTATACTGATTTGTAATCATCACCTTAGAAATGTGTCATGTTGCCATTCATACCAAACCAATGTACGTTGTAATACTGCATTGGACTGATTCATGTGTCAAACATGGTATTTGTGATTCAGTTTTGCTGCCTGCACTCTTCTCTGTTCTTAGAATCAATAAATATTAGATTACAAAACCTTGGAGTTCTTTCTCAGACACTCTGTACTTGGCACAGTATACTGAATTTTATGATTGTATTGATAAATATGAGTGCTAATAAATTGTGTATGTATTTAATTTGTCTTGTGTGTCTTTGTGATGTGATTTTGTAGTACCACCTTCCAAGGAATTGAGGCACTTTTTGTTTTCTGTTGTTTCTATGATTAAAATTATATTACACAACTTGAAAGAATACACTTACTACTTTCATTTTATATTAACCTTTATTGACCATGCATTGCAGTATTGTAAGGGTGCATGTGTGCAGTCCAGCTGGCTGTTGTATTTTTCAATACTGATATCTTTACCACAAATAATACAGGTGGAATTAAAATCCCCTGTTCCTGAAGAACAGAGGTTAATGTACATTGGTCAGGCAAAGTGTCAGGAATCTGAAGCTGTAAGAGGCATATCTACAGCAATCAGTATAAGGCAAAAATCATACTTTTAGGTCAGACATTAAAAGTGAATGCTTTATGGTTAACATTTGCTGTAACAAGACACTTGTTTAAACTCCACAGGGTACACAGAGTTCTTTGGTGCTATATTTGTTGGTATGCTGGTTACAGTTCTTAGCAGCTGCAAGATTCTGTGACATTCGTTGGAGAACAAAACATTAGATGCATTAGGTTATTACAGATCATTAAACAGATATTTTCAGGCTTGATAATGCTTGCAGTGGTGATGGTAATGGATTTTTAGCAAAATTTAATGGATTGATTTTAAAGTAAAATGAGATATGATGGAAATAGGGCAGAAGAGTTCATTGTGTCTTTCAAGGCCTGCACAGTAACATTAACATAAGGATAAAATAACCAGAATTTCCCTAAGAGGAATTCCATCTTTTAAAAAGAATGTGGATAAACTAGGATATTTATTATAATTGTTCCTTTCAGCACTCAGGGGCATTACAAAGTTTTTTAGGAGGCATTTCAGCATATATCTGTAGGTCAGAGCTGTTGCTTTAGTGGATTATATCCTGTTCCATAGAAATTCAGGAAATACTTAACCCATTGGTGTACTATGCTGTGTAAACATCAGCCTATATTGCTGGGTATACTTGCTACATGTAAAGTGAATTTCTGAAGACTCGGTAGTTATTGGTTATGCCACAACATGTAATTCATAGCATGTTGCACCACCTCCAGCTGTAAGCCATGTCTTAGGTATAAGTTTACATATTATCAGAAGAGAATTATAATCTTCAAGATGTGAAATTTTCACAAATTAAATTTACATTTGAATTTATAATTAAAATTATTAAATCTAAAGCTGTTTTTGAAAGCAAAAGCCTGATAGACTAAGTACATATTACACATGTGGAAGAGGAGGAGGAGGTGGTGGTGATGATGATGAGGAGGAGGAGGATAAGGGTTAGAACTCTCCAGAATCGTGGATATCTGACAGCTAAATGCAGCACTTTTTTTTTTCCTAATGATGTGTTTGCTGGTACTTGTACACCTGCTTTTATCCTCAAGGCCAAAATATACAATGCACTGGCAGATATGACATTGACAAGTATGCAGGCATGCACCATTGCTTGTCAGCAGACATAAGAGTTGAAGAGAAGCACTTACTAATGGAATTTGATATGTTACTTGAAGGCCTAATTGAAATAGCCCTTTCTTACATCCTGAATGTATATTTAACAACAGTGTGATTCCTCTTATAATAAATTCATTTTTGGTACATTTTTGTTAAACATTAAATTATTATAAAGTATGCCTAATGGAGCTGTAAATGTAAATACAGGGTGGTTCAAATATGACTGGGACTGATTTAAAAAAAAAAACATAATTGCCAAACACTTACTTGCACATGTCAGTCTTCAACGTACTGCCCTCTGGAGTCAACACATTTTCTTCAACTTTCTGGAAGCATCCTGATGCCCAAAAGAAAAAGACTTGTGGTTGGCAGCTTATCCACTCCTGAACAGTCTGGATGACGGCGTCGTTGTCCACAAACCACATGCCTTGCAAGTCTGATTTGAGCTTTCCAAACAGGTAGAAATCACATGGGGCCAAATCGGGACTGTACGGCGGATGTGTCAGAAGGTTCCATTTCAATTTTCGAAGGGTTTCCATTGTTTTGGCCATATGGGGGTGTGCATTGTCTTGAAGGAAGGCTACCCGCTTTCCACCTGTCTTCCGCTTGGGTCGGATCTTTTCCTTCATGTCTGTTGCCAGGAGGTCTGAGTAATAAGCTACATTGACTGTTCTGGCATCTGTCAGAAAGTCTACATGGATAACCTCCTGCCAGTCCCAGAAGAACGTTACCATCACTTTTCCTGCTGAACAGCTCCTCTGCGCTCTCTTGGGTTTGAGAGCACTGGTATGCCACCACTCGTGTGATGACTGCTGGGACTCGGGAATGAAGTAGTGCACCCACGTTTCATCGGTGGTCACTACAGACTTCAAAAATGCATCACCTTCATCTTCAAACTGCTGTAGGCAGCTTGCATGTGCACCATTTTGTTCACATACATCAAAGTGCATGGTACCCACCGTGCATTCACCTTGCGACAGTGCAGGTGGTATTTCACGATGTCTTCTACACTACCAACACTGATGGACAGCATTGCTCCAAGTTCCTTGATAGTGATATGCCTATTCTCACGAATAAGCGCGTCTGCACAATCAATGTTTGGCTTGGTGACGGATGTTCGTGGCCGACGATCATGCGGTTCATTCTCCACGCGCTCTCTGCCCTCTCTGAAGCACTTACACCATTCTAACACACGGGTCCATAAGAGACGCTCTTCCCCATACTGTTGTTGGAGTCTGTGGTGAATTTCAGTGGACGGGACGTTTTCTACAACAAGGAATTTGATCACAATGCGTTGTTCCACGCTCCGCGGTACCTTCTGTACGCTCATCACTCTAGCAACTCCCAGACAGCACTGAACAGGTTCTAACCCTAACAGGAGGGAGAGTGGAGGTTGTGGCTACAATCTCTCAAGGTCGCACAACTGCTGCACAGTGCAGCTTGTTTACAAAAAAATCAAATCCCGGTCATATTTGAACCACCTAGTACTTTGCTACATTCTTGTATGATAGAATGTTTTTGAGATATAATAAATAAGACACTAAATGAAAAGAAAGATTTCTGCTCTGCAATTTTGTAAAGAGATACAGTGCTCCAATGGGTTGAGAGGAAGCCAAAGTACCTTAATTGGTAAAGCAACTCCACCGTATCCACAATTCTCTGGGGCACTAATATGTCCTGAGTGTAGATTCATGGAATGTGATTCCATGGCTTATAACCATTGTTCTTAAAGTAACATGATATTTTGCTTATTTCTGTGATTTACAGGCATTATATACTTAGCCAATTGTCATTGTAGATGGTTGTCCTTTTACATAATTTGTCTGTGTATGTTGAAATAATGTTTTCTTTTAAAAGAAATAAGACTGAATTTCATCCTACATCCAAAAGAAGTAAAAATATTTGGAAGATCATTTCTGCACTGTGAAAGACAGGTTTTATTTATTTAATGTACTTGAAGTTAGTGTATTGCTTGAAGAGAGGAAATCAGTTCATTTGTGTTCACAGTATGTGGTGTGGGCCAGAATGTGATATGTCATATGAGCTCTGTCTTGGTATTATTGATATTATTTAATGTACAACACATAATTTTATTTGGTGGATGCCCAGCTGTAGATTTTTTCTATATTTCTTTGGAGCAGAAATTGGTTTTGCCTTGCTCATATTAAAGAATACTTCTTATAAATATAAATTTCAGTGATTTTATACGTAAAACAAAAATATTGTGTTCAAAAGGGTTCACTATGTTAACAGTGAAATAACATCGTGAAATAACTGTTTTTAGATACCCTTTGTTATATCTTGGAAATGTATGAAATGACATTCTGTTATTTTGAAAATAAAGTCACTTTCCAATCTGTTTGAAAATAAGAGTCCATACGTTTTACTTATGTCTTTGAAGTAATTCTGCAATAAAAGTGAATAATGTAGGAACATGATGGAGTAATGTATAATATCAAGGTAAGACGAGTCGAATTAGACAGTAAAGAAGCATTAATTAAGGTTATTTTTTACATACTGGATTGAGCTGTCTGATGTATGACTATGTTTCGAATCACCGACACCAGTTCAAATTTAACATTCTGTATGGGGGATGTTGTACTTATGGGTCATTGGCTACTGCTCTGCTATGGACACAGATGTTTTCTTGATTTATGTTATTTGTAATACCCTAATAATCTTAGGAGTCTGTTTCTTTGCATAGTGTTGGGTCCAGTTAATTTTATATTTCAAAATTATGTCCAGTACCATTTTGACTGTTCACATGAAGATGAGAGAGTGAAGGAAGAAGATAAGTTCTGTTTTTGATTCTATTATTATGTGTTCAGTTTGTCGCTGTCCATTCAGTTGCACTTTGCTGTTTATCTCATAAATTTATTTTCAGTAGTTCAGTTTTAGTTTTATTTCTTACTTTCATTGTCCAGCCTTTATTCCTATATAGAAGGGTGTCAGCAAAACTGGGGTGAATAACGGTGTGTAGTATTATTTCATATAATCCTTTACAAGTTATCGAGTAGGAGCAATGGGAGGAAAAAGTAGTGTTTATTTACAGGAGGTGTAATGGGTTCTGATAAAAATCATTCTACACTGAAAATTACTTTTTAATGATATCTAACTGTACAGTGCCTGAGTATGTGAACATCAAAGATACAGGATTGAAGGAAGAATTCTTTGTAGTTTGAGTCATTTATGACTGTTTCAGGTTTGTGATATCTTCTGGTTGATCCAGTCAATGTAGCTGGGTACATTGACATACACTCCAGGAACACCTTTATCAGCACATCCAATACCCCAAGCAACAATGCCTGCTACATAGTGCTGTCCATTCACTTCACACACCAGTGCTGACCCTCCATCACCCTTGAAGGATACAGAAAGTGAGGCAAGTTAGTACTGTCATTTATTTTAGATCTCGTAATTTTTGATAGGCTGCTGTAACATTTCTGACAGATGGTTAAATTATAAATATTAATTTGGTCTGTTCTTATGTAAAAACCAATTCTTAATGCTTATCTCAAGCATTTCAGTAATAACAGAACTGAACTGTCTTATGTTCATATAATATATATTCACACAAATGGTAACTGTCAGATTTGAGATTCTCCCATTAGTGACTTTCAAGTTAACTGTCTTTTGGAATGTGATGTCATGTGGTGTTATAGATATTTTACAGACATTACACAGTCACCCCTTTCAACCCTGATGTTGGAAACAGCTCATTCCAGTAAATCCCTACCAGACTACACAGCAGCACATCCCAGAAGACGGTAGCCATTAATATAGCACTAGTCTTTAAAGTTGCTCGTACGTGCTAGTTTTGTAACTTTTGGTGGTGATACCATCAGAATTTGACCTTGGCCTCAAGCCTGAACCCCTAAAAGACATTTACAGAAGTAGATGATGTTCATTTGTAATATTGGTAATAATGTCAGGATAAGTGGTCAGCCTGTCACAGAAAATATGATAATGCAGTAAAGTCAAGAAAAGCATGAAGATAGTCCTGTCATTTGACAAAAGGCTCAGAAAAAATGAAAAGGAAAACACCAGAAAACTTGGAAGTAGGTTTGAATTGCATGTGTATGTGGTGAAATGTTATCCATAGACAAACCGTGCAAGCATCATAGCCTTCCTCTCCACCTGCACAAATGAAACTGTTAGGATTGAACTGGAACTGTGAACCAAGGCGGGTGGCTTGTAGCTTAGCTTGACAGTCAGACCATCCAAGCACAGGAACAGTTGCCTCCTTTTCAATACTCTGATACTGACCACTAGGTCCAAATGCATCTGTACCCCATCCAGCTACAATGCACCTGAAAAAAAACCTTGAATGTAAAAGCGCTTCTAAAGTGCACTAGACTAGTTAAAAATAACTTCTAACTTCTTTCAGAAAGGAATCTCAGCAGTAACAGTTGCTATAAATAAGTTTGTGTGTGTGTTCATTCTTATTATTTTTGAGTGAACTAGTCAGTCTTCATAAATCATCATTCCAACTGGAAATGACACGAGTGACATATACTTAGTTTGAATTTGCATATTTGCAATACCACATGAATTTTCAAGATATCAAGAACTGTAGTGTATTTCATTGCTTGGTCAGCAAAAGTTATTAACATTATTTGTAAAGATTACTGTTTTCTGGGATGTGACATGTAATTTAATCCCTGTCCAACAAACTATACGGTCTCACATCCCAGCAGAAATCATCTTCATAGTCACCACCTCGAAAATGACTCCAACATTAATTACTTGTGTGTAAAATACTCGTAACTATACAGTATAGTTTGCAAAATAACTGCTAAAATGTATAGCAAGGTACATGAAATGTGTAGAATTATATGAGATTGTATTGTGTGTGTGTGTGTGTGTGTGAGAGAGAGAGAGAGAGGTAGTGGGACAAACCTTTGAAGAAAAACAAAACAAAACTCCATGATTTTAGCCCACAAGCGAACTATACTGACTGAGCGACCTCTGCTTGTTGGCAAAGTTTAGTGCCAACTTTTGCAGATAGAGGGTATTGTGTGGTCAGCGCAAGAAATCCTCATGGCTGTTAATTTCGGTTTTCTAGACCGGAGCCACTATTTCCTTGAAATAGCTCCTCATTATCATCAGGAGGCAGAGTGGACCCTGTTCCAGAACCACTACTTCTCAGAAAAAACCTGGTAGTGCCGGGAATCGAACCTGGAACTCTGGATCTGTAGCCAGGCATGCTGACCACTAGATCACAGAGGCCAAACCTTTGAAGACTTGTTTTAAAAATAACTGGAAACCAGCATTCAGTAAGTCATGCAATGTCTGATTTTGTTTTGGCCAGAAATGCCAGTATTTGTAGGATATCAGAAGTAACAACGGAAAATGAGAAATGCTTGAGCTCTTCAAAGATCCGTAATTGGCAAGAAAGATCAGGTTCCTCACGAAAATAATGGGAACATGGAAGGGTTAGGTCTTTTCTTTTCATGGTGTCACGTGTATTAGTGATTATAGATGGGGTTTGGATTGGTGAATAAATTTACTGAGCACTTACAGGTCGAAACTACCAATAACTGTAACACTATTGCTGATTTGCACACTAAGTCTTCTCAGTCTTCTTTCACTAGTCTTTACTTGGTAACAGCTCTCAAAAATGGCTATTCCTTTGCAGTGTTTTCCCTAGGTGTTTCTTGGTAAGGAACCTTACCAATGGAGATTCTTCAGCTTCCCTTGCCTTCTGATTAATACTCCCTAATTGAACCCTCAACACCAAACTTCTCCACTGAACAGCCTCAACTGACTTAGCACCATTTGTATTCAGGATAACTCCTTGGCATGGAGTACACAGAAAACACAGCCTCTCTGTTTTTGAGGTGTGTTTATCGTGCCATTGGTCACAGCGCGGACCATGTAGAGAACACCCTTCTTCTATTGTTGCGCGCGTTTGCTCTCACAGGAATGTGTTTACTGAGTCGTTGCCTAGCAATTAACTATTCTGGCTTTTAGGCGACATGGTTGCAATACATAAAATTGGGACATCCACATTCGAATCATCACTAATGCTAGTGGTTCTCTGACATACGAAAATTCCTGTTCTAATTTTTGAAGACATTTTCCAGTTCTCCCTAGAATTTATATTTCCACCAAAAGTGGGACAACATCATTCAAATTAAAAAAGAAAAATATCATCCCTTACCAGACATATAATCCCTGAATCAGAAAAAAATTCTCTCTCTCTAAATGATTACATGAGAATTTTATACATTACCTCTGCCCTGTGAAGGCAGCATTTTGTCGTGACAGACATGCTGGGTTTATATTGGGATAAACCCCTAGTGGTATTTGTTGGTACAGCTTAATGACAGCAATGTCATTTTGAAGATTCGCAGAATTGAAATGTGGATGTATATATACATTAGAAATTATATAATCTTGGTAACTGTACGGTTCTATGTTCCGTGTAATGTCCCAGTCTCCAAGACGTACCTTCACACCTGGACAGTTCCTGTGGGCAAAAGACATATATGTGTGGAAATCAAAACAGTGCCATGAGAACATAGGACAGTAACATCATGGAATTAAGGACTGGAAAAACGTTGAAAGCTTCATTGATTTTACAGACTGCTTTATGGATGATGCAAAACTAAGACTCTGTCATTGAATATGACACCATTTACCCAAAGACATGCATTACTTTTGCAGTCCATGAAGTGAATGTATTGTCTGAGTTCTCAAAGTGGATGGTGGCCAATAGTGGGGAAGTCACAGAAGAGGTAGACCACACCACTGGCAAGTAAATTGGGGGCACATACTATCTGCCTTCAGTAATCAGACAATTTATAGATATAATGGACTGTCTGTTCACATGTTTCATCCCAAAAACTGCTGAACAAATTTTTATGAAATTTGGTGTTGGAGGAAGTGTCAACAGTAAAAGTTGCAAAGTGAATTTAATTTTAATTCATAATATTGCAGTATATCTGTATTTTATATAAAGCTCAGATCAATCAACTTATCAATAATGGCTGATATAAAAAACTGTTACATTATATTAAAAATATATTTCATAAAGATTCACAACTTCAGATTGAAATATTGCTTTATATGGTAAATATTTCATGAAGTAGGGTAAAATAATATCTGATTCTGTGTGAAGTCATCAGTTTTTTAATAATAAATTTACCTGCAATAACTGTCAAGGTTGATGAAGTATGTAAAACAGCAAAGAGTATTTGGAGAATATATGTACATTATTGGAGGGCATTTATCCACTTTCCATATTCCTTTATGAAGCATGTGTCACACTGCTGAGATACATATGCAGGTCTAATGTCAATTTTTCTCAGTACAGATATTACCCAACAAGTTAAAAATCCAGCCATCCACATTGCAGCGGTAGGGGATTGAAATCTCCTGTTCCTGGGCTATGAAGGATAAATGGGTGTGATTATTTTAACCTGATGGTGCTCTTGATGCTTCTTTTTCTCTTAATTTATACAGTATTTATAAGTTCTTACACATATGATGCTATTTTGTGTGCAGCAGTGAGGACATGGTAAGAACCCACAAGTATTCCACCTCCAATGTAGTTATTTTCAGGTCCCAAAATGATTGCTGACCATGGGAACGCAGCAAACGGTGCCTGGAAGGATGCAAAAGTTATAGAAAACGTCGGGCTTTCTCTGCAGTTCATTGATGCAGATCAAGTTGCAGCAGTCCTCACCAGCATGGCCATAGGGTACTCACTTCACCTTGACAATGCAGGCAGTAAGGAGCTTTAAAATGGTAGTACAGTCTACATCTACAGAGTGCCATCATCCACAAAGAGGATCCATATTAATAATGCAGTGGTTTTAGCTGCTTTATTTCACCATAGCAGGTAGTTATTTTTACTATGAAGTTACTGCTATCTGTAATTCTTTGTCACTTGGAAATAAATAATTATACTTGTATATAATTTGAATGTAAATATCTAGGTAAATTACTAAAGCCCTTTATGTCTGTTACTGAAAAACAAGACAATCCTCAAGTTGCAGTTGGTTGGGTAACACTCCTGTTTTGTATTTGGAGAGTTCTATGTTCAAATGTGGGTCATGAAACTGGCAATCCTCACTGACATTTGTCTTGATTTTCCTCAGTCCCATCAGGCAGATGACAGGTTAAAAAAAGGTAAAGCTATCCCTGTAACAGGCTGTAATGGCCCATAGGGTTGTGAGATGTCAAGGCTCCCACATTTTCTCTAGACAGTCAGCTCGCAGATGGTGGTAAGGTTGTCAGCCTTACATACCGGCCGCCCGTTACTGCCCAGGAAGATTCCTGGTACTCATTTATGTTGGAGGCAGAGTTGACCCCAGAGCCATAATGCAGCTGGAAGGATTAGGTAAACTGAAAAAAATCCACCTCATCAGGACTCTAACCCATGACCTTTCAGCTTGTAGAATGGTGCCTCAACCAACAATGCTAATGCATGCCCAAGATGACAGGTTAGTACCTCAAATTATGCCATGACCACTTCCACATCCCTTCCACTTCATTATTCCCTGATTATCCTACCATTTAACACCATGTAGTCTGAACTACTGTTGTTAGTCATATATAAATAATTGAGACAGGTAAACCACTGGATGAAAACTTGTATGCCCAAAGATGGATAATGAACTTATACCCCTGGCAGAGATAACTATTTTCGACTAAGGAGACTAGATCTTTCACATCATACTTTGCCAGACCTAGGAATAATGAGATCAGCTCATTTGGCACTTCAGCACTGCTAAGAACTGAGGCAGGTTGGAAAATACGGGCGCAGCCAACTGTCTTTAGCTCCGTATAACCACATGATTAATTTATCTATGTGGTTATGCCATGCATAGTACGTAGTATATATTTATGCATTTCTTTCTGGATAGGTTGTTTTGAGGGAACACTAGCAAAAATAGGAATCTTATAGTTTTATTCTTTAGGTTAATACATACCTGTCCTGTCTTCAATTTTACATTTGCCAGGCGCATTGGAGTTCTAGTGCCACACACGTATGTATGTGGCTGGCTGGTATAGCAGCAGTAGACAAGAGGGTGTGTACATGTCACACCAGCTGGTGGCTGTTGAAGAGGTTACAGTATAATAGCTACGCATTGAAAATGTATGTAAGAAAAAACCCTTGTAGGTTAAATAACCCCATGGAGCAGAGTCCTTCTTGAGAAGATAACAGTCAAGAAATCACTCCCATATATGTGTACCCAGAGGTTCTTACCATGTTCACAAGGCCCTGTTATTAGGCTGTAATTCTGAGGAGGATCAATCCAGTCTGCATCCACAAACCGTAGTTCTTTGAGATCCGTGTTAGTATTGCCTCCCATTTACACCTACTTCTGCCAGGTGGTTTCCTCCTTTCATGTTTTCCAACTAAAATTTTGTGTTCAATTCTGATCTTCAATGAATATCACATGCTACACCCATTTCATTCTCATAACATTTTGTGACAGTGCAAATTATGAAGCTGCTCATTCATTGTGCAGTTTTTCTAGCATCAAGTTACTTCCTATCTCTTATGCCCTAATGCTCCCTTAGCACCCTGTTTTCAAACACCCTTAATCTATTCTTCCCTTATGGTGAGAGACCAAGTTTCACACCCATAAAAAAACGAAACAACAAAAATACATTTTTAATCTTTATGTTTTTAAATAAGAAATGGGAAGGCTAAAGATTTCAACTGAATTGTAGCAAGCTTTTGCTGAATAGTTCCATAATGATTCTGATTCCTACTAAGAAGTATGTGCAGGGACATTTTTAATGCTACTGATGAGTTCACAGCTCTGCACTTCACCGCAACCACTCCTTTGCTGGCCGTGAAGCGCATGCAAATTTTGCGAATAACTCAGCATGCTTGATGGCCGATAACATATGGAATGAAGGAAAATAATTTACTTATAGACCTCTACACAGTATTATGTCATGCGGCATACAGTGTGGTTCATGCATGTGAAGTTTATGATTTGTCACCAGTAGGCAGTAGTTCTCATCATCATGAGCCATTTGTTCCCACGTAACAGTCAGCAGTATGGCATACAATGGTTCATGATACTTTACAGCACCGTGTATTTCTGTATGAAACCTAAATACAGGTCTGCTAGAAAGTGTCAGTGAAAATTTCAAGGTAAGTTTTGTCATGAAATGTTCCCAGCAGACAAACAATTCATAATTTGGTGAATAAGCTTAGAACTGTAGGACTCTTTAAGCGCTGAGTACTTACTGAGAAGAAGTTAGATAACATAGGGGCCAGACTTGAATATACACCTAGAAAATCACTGAAATGTCTAGTGCAAGAAACTGGAGTGTCAAAGTCTAGTGCATGAATGGCAACACTGTTGCAGAAGCCATCCAGTGAAAGCTGGTGTCTGGTGTGCTGCAAGTGAAAGGATTGTTGTATGTGTGTCTTTTAATGAAACAATTAATTGCATAGGATATTCATGTGTAGAGAGACAGCATTTTCAACGCTTCCTATGATCTGTGAACAATGGCAAGACTTCCCTTCATTCCAAATGTTATCGGCATGCTGAGTCATCAGCAAAATTCACGTGGGCCTTGTTGCAAGTGGTGCACCAGTAGCAGTGAAGTGCAGAGCCCTGAACACATCAATTTTATTAAAAAAACGCCCTGTACAAGAGGAAAAGAAGAACCAAATGAATGAAAAAGCAGGTTGGCTTGTGCTAATGTATCTAGATTACTTTTATGAGGTACTTGGTTCGAGTCTTGGCTAGGACATTGAGTAGCCTGAGTTTTTTGTGCTTTTCCATAAGTCATTCCAGGTAAATGATCTGTACCTTGAAATAGGCCATAATTATTTCCTCCCAAACACTTTGTAATCATCTTCTGACCTCATTTAATCCTAATAACCTTTGAATATCTTTGTGGGACCTTTATTCTGGGAACCTTTGTGTTCTTGCTTAAGCTAATTTACATGTAATATTAATAAAACAAGTTGTCAGGTTGTCATCTCAGGTGGTTAGACATAGGTTCTAATTATGGGGGCCTGGGTTCATTCTCAGGTGGCTCCATGTGAGATTCTTGATAGATAAAGTGCCATTGGAGGCTTATCTCTGAGTTTCTTCCATTTTCCCATACCAATCATCACTCCTCTGTTGCTCTACATGCATCTATATCCCTCCCCTGAAGTATACGACAGCCCTGACCAGGCAGCATATTATCACATCGTTACTCATTAAATTAGGTGCTTAATCTCTGATGACAATTTGTTGACTTTAGAGTAATGAAGCTAACATTGATATTTAAAAGAACAATAAGGATGATACTGTTGTGCTTATATGGCAAACAATGAGAGAAAGCTCATCATCCTGAAGATAACTCTTTTCTTGGATGTGGTGTCATGTAATCTGATAGAATTTGAGGCTTTCACGGCGGTGACTATGAAGAAAGCAGTCTTCTGGAATTTGGCACCATGTATATGTGGTGTTAACCGACGTTTCGGAGGAACCGGTAAAAGCAGTCTGCTTTTACCGGTTCTCACGGTCTCTTTGCTTGCAGATTTCTTATATATTTTTTCTTCTACCCTGAAGATGGAGGCGATACGTTCCTCCGAAACGTCGGTTAACACCACATATACACGGTGCCAAATCCCAGAAGACTGCTTTCTTCAATCTGGTAGAAGTTTAACACTTCAGAGGCATATGTTGCCTCCATCTTCAGGGGAGAAGATAGAAGCAGTATGTTCCTCTGATACATTGCTGAACACTTACCAGACTATATGGCATCGCATCCATGAATACAGCTTATCTTCATAGTCACTGCTCTGAGAACTTAACATCTCATATAGTTTGTCATCCTGTCAAATAGATTATTTAGGAACAGATAGACAAATTGGTTTCTAATATACAAAAGGACATAAGTGCCCATATGTGAACAGGGGCTGAGGTAAACCTTAAGTTGGCAAGACTGTTTAGTAGATGGACAATTGAATTCTACATCTATTTTCATAGAAGGCAGCCCTCACTTTCAAACCTGACACATTCGCTTAAGAGAGTACATTCACTTAGAAAGCAAAATAATTCTGTCTTCTTACCGTTGTCACAATCCGTATGTCAATGACTCCAGATCCATCTGTCGCTGGTAGAGGCTGGCAGGAAATCGTAGATACACACCCACATGAGTTTGTCCCTCTACCTGACCTATCTGTTCCAATAATTCAGGTATGTGAATACTTTGCTTGTAACAACAGGAACTGAATGAAAAGATATTTGTTTATTGGTTAAATTCTTGTATATGGAGGCAATCAGGGGACACTCTCTGGTGTCCAGGCCTCCTTTGTAATTTTTCTTTTTTCTTAAATAATGCAAACCTAAGTCTAGATTCTGAGTTACTTTTTTAAAAATAAACTACTAATGTTGGCAGAAAAGGGACTTGTTCCTCTAGTGCCTCCACAAACTAGAATTCACCTATTTATTTATGGTTTATTTGACAGCACTATCATTAACTTGGCTTACACAGCATCGAATGATGACTAATAGCAAATTATGATGGAAGGGCTGTGGAAGGAAATGGTCATATCTCAACTTATGGTATTTCCATGTATTTGTGTGGTGGGACTGAGGAAAACCATATAAACTATTTCAAGATACAATTATTGTGTTTCTGGACATTATCCACCATCCTACTTTTATTTAAAACACACAAAGAGTCGGAGACTGGATTCTCTCCCCGTCTTCAGGTTCGACCTATTCATTTGGGCCAAATCAATAGAACTAGTCCCTAGGTCCAGAGACAGGGACTAGCTCTATCGATTTGGACCAAATGAGTAATGTAATGTAATGTATGTAAGCAGTGGGCCATAAAAACCGGCCCCCGCACTGTGACCTTCAATGATCTATTGTGCTTCCCCTTGGATTAGCCCCTTATTAATCCTACACTTTTAATTAAGTGTAGGACCCTACTTATGGGGTCATCATAAAAGTCACTTGGTTCTATAAAAAACTGACCCAAGTGACAAAATCTTAAATAAGCTATGGCCTTGCAATCACACAGGAACCCAAATGTGTAGGTCCCACCTGAAGATAGAGACAGAATCCAGTCTCAAGAACGTTGTGTTTTAAATAAAAATAGGAGGATGAATAATATCCAGAAACACTAACTGTTATCAATATACCATCATCACAAACTTTTTGGACCTTTCAAGATAGTTGTCCTAGCTGAGGTTTGAAGCAGGCATCTCCCAAATACAAGTTAGAAGCTTTACCACTTAAGACAGTTTGCTCATTAATTGTAATCTCATTAGAATAGCATTGGACATTACGAGTATTCAGACATAATCAAAAGCAGAAGACACCCTTACCGTTTATATTATGGGAACGCTTTCTGGAGGTTCTATGAAATCTCTCCATTTCTTGAGATGTGAAAGTAGTAGCAGCCGATTCTTCGGTAAAAACCACATGATCATGTGCCATTGTATGTACTACAACAAGAAAGACTGTTGCTGCAATCCACAACATTGTCACACTGAATGCAGATGATCTTCTGCTGAATAAACATGACAGTTTAATATAATTTCCTGGTTTTAATTGAAACATCCTTGATTTGTGCTCCACATAATGCAAATGTTTGTTAGTAACCTCCAACCGTAACTATTTATTCCATCATAGACCATCATTATTAATAATTGAGTTTAGCTTTACAATTGAAGATTGCCAGGAAATATGGTTATTAACTCAAAATGCAACATATTAGAGATCAAAATATCAGTAACATATTCCACATAAAAATGAAGGAAATGAAATTATCTGTTACAGACTGCCAGCATTTCCAAACTGTTGAACAATATAATGTTGATACTGGCTGCATGAATAAATGAAGTGACCTTGTGATTATGTGAGTCTGTGATGCATGTATTTTGTGGTGTAACATTACTATATGTATAAGCACTGAGAAATCACAGATTATCTGCGACACATAGTTACAAATTTGATACCTGTCTGTATTGTCCAAGGGAACCTGCAACCTTCACATGGCTTCTTTACTGCAGTCTGTTTCTTGTCAATGAATTGTCTCTATTTAGGGCATGACCAATTTAGGCATTGTTTCACACCCTGAGAGATGCTCCTCCAGCGAGATACCATCCCAGGACCATCTAGTTGTAATTCAACTATTATCATCCTAAGGCTTAGGGTGTCACTATTGTCCCGAACGTCGCCAGTTTGCTCATAGTGTCATAAACCCATAAACTGACATTGTGCGAGACCAGCCAGGAGGGGTCTTGGGTTCCCTGCTCGTGTGCCTTGAAGACCTAAAAAAGTTTATGGGCATCTTGAAAAATACGAATGTAGGACAGATTCCAGCCTTGACCCTTGGCTTTCTTTTTTTATTTTCTTGTTTTTTATGCCCACTGGGGGACTTGTAAAGATAGGGCAGTTGTTTACAGGGAGTGGAGGTGGACAGTTGAAAAGGGAGTTACAGGAAGGTAGCTAGTGAGTGGCATGTATGGTCAGTGAGCTGGGGGAAAATTGGTGTAAACAGGTTAAGTGTGACAGGGCGGCTAGCTTGTAGGAATAATATAAAAATTGATCCCTGTATGAAATTTGAAATTAAGACTGCAATACATGGTGTGTTCATGAACCCCGAAGTGTGTTCCACTCCCATATCCGAAGCACCCGTATCCTCGAGATAAAGAACTCATCTCGAGCAATAGTCGTGGCAGCTGTACATCAGTAGGCTGCTACAGGTAGCATAACTATCTGGGGGGGGGGACCCAGTTCCAGTCACCCTCTTCCAAAAGTCTGTAATGAGCGACAGACTCTTTGTAAGGTACACTGTCATCATTCCAAGTGCCCACATTTACTTCCAAAGGTTTCAAAAGGAATTACATATGGAATCAATTTAAAAAGTTGTCCCTTTTTTTTTTTTTTTTTAATTAAGCACTGTGAAGATACACTGTGGAGTGTAAGAATGCACCTTAACCTCTCAAGTCAGCTACTATTTCTTGATAGGAGGCTGCATGGGTCATAGAACCAGTCTGGATGCTGAGGAGAAAAGAATACCTCTTGCCTCTGCCATGAATCAAACTTCAATTCCTCAGCTGTCCAACCCGTAACATGGTCATCATACTGATTGAGCTATCCTGGTTCCTATGGAATCAGTTTGTTCTTTTACTAATTTGGTAGTGCTAGAATTATCCTGTAGAGATGCTGCGTACCTACTTCAACCTTGTCATTATGAAAATTTACTGTGTAGCTGTCTGGAGTCCAATACTGTGTCTTGATTAATATTTCCCACACAAAATACACAGCAGAAGGTACAGAAGGTTCAGTTTTTGAGACTTAGTAGGGTTTCAGTTCTAGGAATACAGATTTCAACACAGATGGAAGAGTAAATTTCATTTATTGCAAAAATCAACACAGTTTACACACAGAAAACTGTGGAGAGAAGCAAACCTTTACAGTGGTAGATAGGTCTATCACATACCAGAATTTGCCACATATAAAAAAAGATAAAAGCATTCTTGTAGCAGGCCAAAATGGCCCATAAAGTTGTTGTGATATGCTGAGGCCCCCACATTTATTAGCCAATCAGCTCACTGATGGCGGTGTGTCGTAAACAACAGGAATTGACACGAATGGCCAAGTCGGACCTAGACATAACTTGCCAAGTACAAATGTCCAGGAAGGAAAACACTGCTAACACTATCCTGATGACTGAACGTTCATGTTTTTTAATAAGTGGTTTAATACCTATATGCACCAATTACAATGTACTGAATTTTTGCTACAAAGACTAGAGGAAATTTGTTTAAAAGTACTTTTGAGAAATGAGCTGTGCGCTTTGCCACTCCACACAGACAAGTAATGATGCAAGTCAGTTTCCTATTCTAGGAATCTTTTGCACAATTATATATATATATATATTGTTGGTTACTGAATACGCCGTAGAGATCGTTAATTGGTTTATTTAACAACCTACAAATCACGGCTACAATTAATTATAACACAGTTGCAGGGTTTCACACTTTATAACCCTAATCGCATTAATCTGTTAACACTGTTGCGGGGTTTCACGATTTATAACCCTATGCGCAAATCAGTTCACTCTGTCTTCAGTAGTCTACACGTTTACAGTAGGGGAGCTATGTATCACTGTATCACACACTCCCAATTACACAATCACACACACGTCCGGTTCTTCTTTCCGCGACGGCTGCTATACTGTCAACTCGACCCGCAGGCTTGCTCGGAACTAACTGTGAATAGCCTTCGCTGCTCCTTATGTAGCCTCGTTCCGGACCATTGTCGTCTGGTGCCGTGTTGCTAGCAACGCTGTCCGGAGTTGTTGACTGCTGCCTAGCAACCGCGATATCCCTTGGTGACGTCACCGCTGTTGACGCGTGTTGCATAGCTACCAGGTTGCGGGGACTCGGCTAACTTCGGCTCCGCTCGGAACGTCACCGCGGGGAGAGTGGCGGGGTGATAACTCGCCTATTACGAGAGCGCTACGTTACCGCCACGTGCCGCTGGGGAGGTAGGGGTCATCCGTTGCGCAACATGTCACAATATTATTCATCTCGGCACTTAAAACCATGATACTTTTTCACTGTGCACGAATCGGCGCCACACTTGGTAAGCCTATTGAAAATATTATTTTCGTTATATTCTATGCATACTGGCATACGATAAATAACCATTAGCTTTGTAACACAAAGTAGCGCTGAACATTTAGCGTGTTCTAGTGTGGGAGCCGTGATACCTCAGTTGGTGTAGCGACTGGGCTATCTTCCAGACCCTCCAGACGCCCGAGAAATCGAGGATTGACTATCGTCAGCTCGTCACGGGCACATGAGTTTTCCTCAAACCTAGAGCATCTAGGCCATCTAGGCGATCTAGGCGGTCTCTAGCGTCTCTGGAGCCCACCCAATCTTCTATCGATTGTAAACCCCGAAGGCAAAGTGTCAAAGGCCCGAAGCTCACCATTTCCCTTAATCTTCCACCGAGGTTAAAAATGATGGAGCTATACCTCCATTCTTCCACACGTTTTCATGGTGTTAATCCGTAGCAGTACTTGCTGGCATTTACCGTATTTACGCATGTATAGGCCGCACATTTTTTGCCAAAAATTCAAGAGGAAAACTGGGGTGCGGCTTATATTCGAAATATTCGAAATCACACTTCATTTAAAAAAAAATTATATTCATAATTAGTAATACAGGCTGTTCTACTCCTGAAATAATATTCCAAGAAAATTATTTTTTCTATAATTTCTGTCTGAAAATTGTGCTGCGGCCTATACACGCACGCGGCCTATACATGCGTAAATACGGTATTCCGTTTGGTTCCAAGGAATCGATTATCGAATTGAAACTAGTACATCGATAGGTGATTAAGGAAGGGCCGAGTCGTGGACCGAGCTGTCGAAAATGGCAGATATATCAGCTGCTGAGAAAAATGACGAACGAAGAAAACGAGTAAGTGTCAGTTGCTGCTGAATATAAGCTATTATAACTTATGTTTTAATTATTTTATTTAGTAATTTAGAATGCAGTTATGCCTGTTCGTTCCGTTTGCCGAGACCGATGTTTGATGTTGGGTGTACAATTTTGGTTAAAATTACGATAGTTTATTGGGAGTTTGACGAATTTATGCTCTCAGAACTCATTAGTGATTTCATACGAAATAGTTTGTATCAGTCGTTTTACACATTGCCCCTAATCTTGCATTTTGGGTCAGTAGTGGTGAAATGGACTGGGGATGGTGTTGAACAGAAAAATATACAGTTGTCGTTAGGCCACTGCCCTGAAAGTTTATTTGCATATGCCTGATAATAAGAAATGAAACGCAGTTTCATATTCTTTAACGAAGATAGTAAAGTAGTAAAAGTAAAGTAAAAGATAGTGTACAGTCACCACAGATTTACCATACTTAACACTGGAAATATCAGTATGCATCTGTACTGACCTTCTCATGGCGCCTCCATATAGATTAAAATGAGTTTCTTTGCACCTGTTTTGTACAAGGTATTCGTTGGCACACTACCCCCAGATTTTCTTCGTATCACAGCTGCATCACAGCAGCAGCAAGAAGCAGCTGATCAGCAGGCTGCTCTTGCCTTACAACAGCAGATGGTTGGTGTACCTTATGCTCACAGTGCTGCAGGAAGATTAAGCATAACTGTCGCACAGGTACAATGATACAGATTTGTATTCCATAAGATTATTTATTCTGGTGCTGCTAGATTGGTAATTTTGCATGATGGGCGTGGTCTCTAATAAAGGTAATTACATATCCACATCAAAATTAGGTAAAATATGTGAAGACATGAAAGGATTTGAAAGGCCTGTATGAAGTTTACTACCCGACCCCCCACAAATGACGTAAAAAACCTGTATGCATATGCCTGACTTTTATACCTTTTAATTCCCTGTTATTAGTAATACCAACATGGCAGCTGTGGAAAGGATGGGTGAGACTTCCATCATATAGTATAGGACCCTGAAATTGTGCGTGGTAACGAATTTTTTAAAAACATGCAAGCTATGCGCAGGTTAATTGTGCAAAGGATGTAAGGTATCTGTATTAAATGTGCCATTTGATAACAGTAAGTTATAAACCATTGCAGCTAGTCATATGCAAATCAGTACACAGTCTCATAAACATGTCTTCAAAGATGTGTGAAACATTTGTCTTGGAAGGTACGCATTTCCATTCTGATTATGGTCTGAAATGTTTCAGAGAACTATAGTAGTGGCGGAACCATTGTAAATTTATTGTCTGCTATCCTCTGTGCAGATGAAAAGTGTTTGAAGGAAAATAGGATATCTGGAATTGGCCCTGAGGCTTCTTGTTCAATATATGTACCACTCTCGATTCAATTTCACACACCATGATACAGCCTTGATTAACCATAATAATTATATTCTTTTTGCATTCTTTTATTCATCTTACCCTCGCTTCTTGCAGTAGAGAGCAGAATGTACAAAGAATTTGTAAGGAGTACATATTTAGTCTGGAAGTTACCATTACAGAGGCTCTTTGTGTGTGTGTGTGTGTGTGTTACCTTGCAAGTTTCAGTACAACCAATATGCAGATCTTACGAAAAGCACAGATTTTGACAGTTTTGTTTGGACTGCAGTACTAGGCCATAAGTATAGTAGAGTACAATATTGTGACCTTTTTTTTTTTTATTGTTAATGGGGTGGGACTAAGTCCCTTGTACTGCGGCCACTTCTGGGCTATTGTACCAGCCCCAGATGATAGGTGAGGGTGATTGTGGAGCAATTGGTGGAATGAAGATATATTGCGACTTAAGTAAAATATATTCTTCATACTTATTTAATTTCCAGGCGAAGTTGGTGAAGAATTATGGTATGACACGTATGGATCCATATGTGAGACTTCGAGTGGGTCATTGTGTGTATGAGACTCATACTGACCCAAATGGGGGGAAGAATCCACGATGGAATAAAGTGGTACAGTGGTGAGTTGTGAAATGTATTCTGTATTTGTATAATTGCATTGAAATTTTAATGTAGTGAATATTTTTTTCTGGTCCCAGGAGAGCCCAATATTGTCACATGTATGGAGTGACTGTAGATGGGGTTTTGATTGACGGCTGTATATATTGAACACTTTAGCACACAACTTGTGACTGCACTTTATAAATCACTGTCACACACAGACTAGTGTTCTCAGTATTCATCAGTCTCCACAATCTATTGCTTGGTAGGAGCTTTCAACTTTGGATGTTCCCCTTCCTCTAGGTTCCTGAATTCTCCTCGGCCTCAGCTACCAGCTTCTTACAGCAACAGTTCACAATGACTGAATTCAGCAGTTCTCTGACTTACTAACTCACTGACCATCTGCTCGCTACACCGACTCTCTTCACTCACTTGTCCTGCTTATAACATCATGTCATGAACTACACACAAAACACTGTTCCTCTGTTGAAGTGCAGTTGTTGCATTCATGTCTGTAGGGGTGTCCACATGATCGCTACTCAGCCATTGACTAGCAGTGGTTGTTTGCAGAGCCATCAGTTAGCAGTGGCTGTTGTATAGCTGCTTATTTCACGGTCATTGCCTGGCAACGGGTCTACATCCCACAGTATTATTTTTTCCATTTTCAACAAATTTCAGTTTAGTAAATAACATGCATTTAATGTAAGGAATGTGTTACTTGCCAGAACTCATATTTCAGTTTAGTATGATTGCAGGTTAACAATTTTTATTTTTTTTTTCTTCCTGTCAGAAATCATTTTCACACACCTTCTATGTTTATTTCATATGTTTCTGTTTATTCTAAAATTAATTTGTTAGTATTTATTATATGCTTTGCCTTTATTTGTGGAAAAACTATTTCCTTAATAAAAAGGAAATTATTTGTTTCAATATTATATTTATTGAGTCTATAAGAGCACAAATAGTTCCTTCGTTTGACTCTGCATAACCACGATTTAGCAGACACCTGATTTCAGTGTAAGAAAAGCCATTCCCTCAGATATTCATTAAATAGAGTTTTTTTTTGTAACAAATTACAATACATCCCAGAAAACCCTATCTTGGTATTGTGACTCTGCATAAAGAGTCATTAGGCAAATTTGATCTTTGCCTTTATCTGTTTATTTCAGTTCTTACTTAACACAAATTTCAAACTGAACTTCATTAAATATTTTGAAAACAGCCAGTCATGCAAGAAAATAATATACAGCACAGATACATATCTTACTAAGACCTAAAACTACTGTACTGATGTGATTTATTTCCTGTTCAGAGTATGTGATTTGTTTTTGCAGCCTTCTGCCACAAGGAGTGACCAGCATTTATTTAGAAATCTATGATGAGTGTTCCTTCACGATGGATGAACTGATTGCATGGGCGCATATCCCCATCTCACAGGCAGTCTTAAGTGGTGAGACTCACGAGGATTGGTTCCCACTCAGTGGCAAGCAGGGTGAGGGATTGGAGGGGATGATTAACCTCGTACTCAGCTACTCTGTAATTGATATATTTTGTAGGAATTGAATTTTGTATATTCTTTATGTTTACATTTCATTGAAGATTCATTTCTATTAACTCTTGTTATGATATCTCTCATATTCACTACAGACGATTTTCAGCTTAGCCTGACTGCAGATTTGCCATCCCTTACTAACAGAATTCACTGTTGGGCCTGACAATACTTAATTTACTGTGTGCTGTTGATTATTGCTCAGCTGGCCATGAAAGTATTGTTATGGTTCATCATTTCCATTACAGTAGCTTGTCAATAAACACTATCTGGGCTGGATCAGAAGAGTTTGATTCTGCTTGACTTGTTCTGATATTAAACTCACATCTCTGGCTGAACCCACATGGTCTGCTCCATAAGGGTTTGCAACAGAACATATAAAATTCTTATTTCCCTTCGTATGTAACAGGTCCCACTGTTATCAATGTGGATCACTTTTAAAATTAAAATAATTTATTTTGATTTGTGGTATGTGTACAGTGTCAGCTTTTAGGGTCTAATTGTGCACTACCATAAGCTGTTTTTGTAGTTGTGACACGGATGGTCTAACTTGATAATTGCTTGCACTTAACTGTGATGAGTTCCGCTAGTTATGAACACACCTGGCCTCTGCATAGTAGCAGTGTGAAGGTATTCACTTCTGAAGCACCATATCCCTCAGCCAGTTAGAATGATGATGATGAGCAGGTAGGATCTAAAGCTTAACTCCTTCTGGATGTTTTGCAGTATATTATCAACATGGCACATTTTCCTTTGCAGTCAGCTGGTGATATATGTCCAAAACATATTTAGTCCTTGTTGCTGACCAAATGCTGCAGCAGTGATTTAAGTACATGTGGCAACCATGTATCAAACAAATGGTGCCATGTTCTGATAATTTTTATTGCACGTTTTCCTCTAGTCAGATGATGCTATATGTTTGACACAATTTTTCCCCTATTTTTGTGACTGAATGTCTACCAAATGCCACAGTGATCATTTCCATACTTTTGCAAGTAATTGCTGCCATCTTTTAATTGTTTTTACAACTTTTCTAAAAAAATATTCAATATTAGTTGGCAGTAAAATGGTTGAGCAGGTTGATGTAGGGCTAATGCTTCAAGCTTGTATTTAGAAGCCCCTGAGTATGAAGGGTGAGCCATGAAACTGGCCCTAGCATTGTGACCTTCAATGGTCTATTGTGCTTAGTTTGAATCTTGGCTAGGACACTGGCTATCCTGACTGAGGTTT